GACTAGCCTAAAGAGGAAAACAAATGATTCCAAAAATCTCCCACGTTGCGGTCACAAAGTTTACGGTTTAGGAAACGACTGATGCAATGTTGGAATTACAAGCAACACAAATAAGCATGTAGACTTAAAGGAACTTTTTCACGAGAACAAAGTAACATGGAATCATATGAGATCAAAATTAAAATCAAATGAAAACAGATTCATCGATTCGTGTTGGCCTACTGTCGTGTTGTAAATTTTCATGTTGTAAATTTTGTATTTACAGCCCACCCGGTAAATTCAAAATTTTCAACATGACACTACCACATAATTCACAAGTGATATTTATACCACCGAAACATTTTTAATTTTTTGTGATATGTAGGCATTTGATTATGGGCTTCGTTAAAAGGGTTAGGTTCTAAAGGGTTTAATACATTTTGGTTGTTATGATGCTATTGTTTTTGTACAATTCTCAAAATTGTACAATTTTGCAAAAAGAAACTGAACCTTAATGGTTCTTTTTTAAAGGCTCGGATGACAGTATTTATTATAATCTTTGGCTAACTGATGTCTGATTTCAAACAACAGTATCCTCATAATCCATTTTAATTCAAAAAAAATTTTTAGAAGGATTTTGAAACGCAAAAATATTGTTAAAGGAGCAAGATGTGTTTTATTTTTTTTTTTCGCAAAATTATTGCACGCATTAATCGCAATATTTAACGATTAAACGCAAAGTGCGTAAAATGAAATACTTGAAACAATTTTTTTAGATAGACCTTCTTCAAAAATTAATGTTATTCAGAATTTAGTTGTCTATTTCATACATTTGAAGTAATATGCTGCTTTAACAAACACAATACAATTTGAGCACTGCATACATGTACTTACTGATATTCGTGGGGTTTAATTTTCGTTAGTTTTCGAGGTATGCAGAGATCTACTAATTCATGTCCACCACGAAATGTAAAATGTTACATACATAACTACTGAACAAGTCCTAATCCACGAATCAAGAGATTTTGCTCAAATGGGACCCCACAAAAATATATTCCATTTCCTCCTGTGAGCAGTCAGTGCCATCATATCATTGAAGCATCACTCAATTATAAATACCATTCGTCTGTCAGTCTGTAGTTCTTGTTCTGTCAGTCCGTCACAAAAACAATAACGTTGGTCACATCTTTTGAATGAGAAGAGATAGGGCTTTCATATTCAACCTGTGTATTGCCTGTGACAAGACCTTTTTAAATAATTTATGATTTTTGATCTCCAGATTTTGTTCAATTTGAATTAAATAATTAGTTTTATATGATTGATCAAGTGTACATTGTTCAACTGTAAAATAAGTTATACACATTTCGAGATTGGTTCCATCTCACAGGTAGCTTTTATGGCTGTGATGGATAGAGAAGTACTGGGACTCCTTTATATGCACGAAGAAAATCAGTATTTTTGGAGAGGTAGAACTTAATCTGTACCCGGAAAACAAGAAAGACATCATATTGATGATAGAAGGTCTGTTACTCTTCTATTTTTTCATAATGCTACGCCACCTCCCATCTGTATCTTATACGTCAATAAAATTTGAACATATGTATCATATACATTGTATAAAGATATATATATATATGAATATGTTAGTGTTTGATGTCCATCTTAAGTATTGTAAAATTACTAATACATAATCTTTAAAATTATTTTGAGATACGACGGGTTCTATTTTCGTGACACTATACATAATTACGGGTATATGGCGATGGATCACGAGGAAGTTTTTTCTGGGAAAAACTTTGATCAAACCGCATATGCAAAGCATCATTTTCACTGTAGTTGTCGAAATTGTGTTTTTATCTGAAATGATTCTTAAAATGATTTTTTTTACATTGCCCATTGGAAATTGCGGATCATTTCACTCAATCTATATCTTCATTGTGCAAAAAATTAGCAAATTTTACTATTTTTATAGAGTATTACAAAATATGACGTACACAATGGATTCACATGTAAACATAATAAAAATATTGGAGATATTCTCAAATTTCTGAGTTTTGAATTTCAAGAGCGTATGTTTATTACTTATTCTTTTATAATATTTTTATTTCCCCTTCCTTTAAGAGCTACAGATTATCATATCGTCAAAAACACACTGCAACAACGTCAACCTACCTATTAATTAAAATTCGGCTAAAAAATCAGTTAAATCAAATTCTAATTATATTTGTGTACCTATAATTTCTAAATTTTGTTTAATTTTAATAATTAAGCGAAAAAAGTTGCATTAAAACAGTAAATACTCTTCTTTTTACTATGACGCACGAAATATTGCGCAATGGAAACTATAGTCGGCCCCCTTAAATGGATTTTTCTTATCTTCTTATTTCAGAAATTGAAAAATGTCGATGGAAAGATTACGGTTTTCCATTGATCAGCACAATCGTATCTATCATTGCATCAGTAGTCATGACTATCGGCGGAATTGCATTTTGCATAGCATGGAGGAAAATTCAGAGCAAGACAACAGGTATATGTGTATGAGAAAAAAAGCTAACACGTTATCGAATGATGAAGAATAAATGTACATTGTGGAGCAGTACATGTATTTTAAAATATGTTTAATATTTAATTCAATCCCGTGCATAATTCCGATTTCTCTTTCAGGAGAGTTGAACGAAGAAAAGAGGTAAGATGTTTTCATGATTTTAGAATTCATTTAAAATTCACGTGTTTAATATTTTCTCGGAAACAAAAAAAATACAAGTCTTTTGAATAATTCAATTTAAAACAAAGACAACAAAGTTGATTTTATTTTATAGCATTGATCAACGGACTAATCCGAGGAAAAAACGAAATTATACCGACCTTCGCATACATGCATTAACCCATAACTATGAAACACCAGAAACGTACATGGAAGTTTCATTGTAGGTGTTGTAAACCACTCCTTATCCATTTCATTCCTCTGTGTATTCTTTGTCAAAATACTAGCTTGCAATACATATAACAATGGATATGTACAATTAAAAATACAATTATTACAAACCAAATTATATATATGACTAGTAGAATATATAATGGTGTTTTTAATAAAAATTTATCAAAATATCTTAGTTATGTTTGTTTGTTAAATATTCCTTTGGAGAATACATGTATTTTACTCATATCTTTGAACGATATTTTAAAGCAAATTTTTCTTCATAAGAATATACAAACAGTTATGACAAAAAGGGGCAAAATTTGTAAAAAGGGAAATTCTGTCGAGTTGGCGGAAGGCCTTGTTTCAAAGACAACATAGATTTTGCTTCTGAGCAAATCAAACATCCTTTTAATCGTAACTTGAAGAAGTATATGTTTGGAATCAGAACTTTTTTTTCAAAAGTGATTATTTGTAGATTAGCTTTACATAATTCAACCTCAAAAAACTGTGAAAATGTATGTTAATTATGCTTTAATTGTTTGATATCTAGGCAGATTTTTTGGTCATTAAAAGATTTGAAGATATTTCCGTTATATTAAAAAAACAGCGTGTGACCTTCAGCCGAAATATGAGTGAATACATAACTGTTGCTTTTCGACTTTGAAAATATTAATGTACAACATGTTTACGCCGTTTGATTCCTTTATGGCAAATTTTATTATAAGGAGCAAAGAGGTTACTTCCTAATCGTACTTCTCCTTTTAAATAATCTCCCATCATTGAGTGAAAATGTGATAGGCAACATTCATCATTCAAACCCAACCTGTATTGATGTCTTAAAAAATGTCTATGGACATTCTAAATCTATCTCAGCTAATTTGGACAAAGTTTTTGTTTTGTCTTAGTTGTAAGGCTCATTCCTGTACCAGTTTGAAAATCTTACACTGGTATGGCGATTCCAAGTTAAATTTCCTTTGTTATCAATGTTTGTCGCTCCAATCCAAGAAATGCTTCAATGCCACCAAATGAAACAATGACTAGACAAAACAGAAACAAATGACCCTGGTCTACAACTATTAATTTGAGTCATTTTATTTATAACTAATTTCAAACATCGGGACCTCTTTAAATCAAAGCACCATAGCCTGAATATTAATTGACAATCTAAAGACTTGCTTTCCACATGAAATCTATACGAGGTAAGCCCCATATTGTTCACATTGTTCCTATAATAATTTGAATACATTTATCATGAAACATCTTTTTGATAATTCAAAGTGTTGCCGTTTGTAGAAATTTTCATTTGAAATGTTTCAAAATTGTTTAATGTGTAGCAATAAACCATTTTCCGTTGCATGTGTTGTAATGTCGTACAGTTTAATTTGTGACACGAGCAGGTTAATATGAACAATATTATAAAGTTTCCAAAGCTCAACATTGAGCCAGCTTTGATATAAATGGTACTTGGTTTAATATCCCGCTTTACCAGAATTTTTTTAATTATCATATTATTAACTAAGTTTCAATATTGGAAAACATGAAATACCATTAAAATGTGTAGAAAATGTTTCATATGCAGAATAAAATCAATTTGTCGCGTTACCAATGTACGTCGACTGGCAACAGTAATTTGTGAATTAATTTGTGTGATAGTGTATTGTTTAACATCCCTCTCGAGAATTTTTCACTCATATGGAAACGCTACCACTTGCCGGATGAAAGGCTGTTCATCTTTGTCCTTTACTCGACACTTAGAGCATTGAGCAGTGAAGGCTTTTTTTTTTCGTGCCAGCACCAACTGCAACAAGGCTTCTCGGTTTATACGGTCTCATTCGAAGGACCCACGTCCCAAAGTGGGATTCGAATCTGCGACATAAGGAGCAACTCCTTACTCCACGACTCTAGAGCAGACGCTCTAACCACAGGGCCAAGGGGGCGACTGCTAATTTGATATACAGCACAAATTATAAATTTATTCGTTAAGTTGTTTGTTTATACTTGGTACACTCGGTGTTCAATTGGGTGATGCAATCAAAACATGTTGAAGTACTTCCTTATTTTCTACATGTTTAATAATATTATTCTATATTTTATTTTTCAGTTTGATAATGGTAATATACCCACAATGAATTATTTTTTAGTGATTTTTGTGAAGATTTTAATTTTTCTTAGGATCATATTTTTCTCTAGTCATTGTAAGTCTACATGTATTCATATCTTTTATATTTTATGATTATATTCTTTTACTCTTAGTATTTTCACCATGCTTTATCAAAAAGAGTGAATTTCTATTTTTCCGTAATTCATGCATGTTAAGTGTTTAATTGTGTGTGAAGAATTACTTTTACCTTTTCAAAGTATTAATGGAGACGTTTTGAAATAATATTCAATTATTTCTATTATTGTTGCCCGACTTTAAAACATATAATTATATAATCTGCAAAACGTTGCAATGATACCTGGAATGGTAATGATAAAAATATTGGATACTAGCAGAAGTAGATAAGCATAGAAACATTAAAAACAAATGAAAGCTAAATATATGCAGTTAGTTGAAAAAACGACATATTTACTGGTCCGCGTGGCGAAGTGGTTAGAGCGTCTGCTCTAGTGTTGAGGAGAAAGGAGTTGATCCTTAAGTCTCTCCTTTGACTCCTACGTACCGTTCATTCTATATTCTGCAAAATTCACGTCCAACAACCCGGGCCCCATCTTCTCTTGCCTGTCTCTGTCCCGCCCTGCATGTAATTGATTAAACACCCATCGATGATCCAGTAGCTTTATGAAGAAATCAAGTATTTTTTCCATCATACGTTTTATCTCGAAAGAAAAAAATGTTATTTAATTTTTTCAGGGACTAATGCGTGCTTTATAAGGTAAGATGCTTTAAGTTTTCTCCCTATCGTGACTTTCTCAAAAATAAGGAATTTTTGCTTTACATTTAAAAAAAAATTACTTACAACTTTTTGTTTCAATTTAATAGGCCAGGGACCCGTTTTACAAAAGAACTCATGACTTAGACCAAAAACTTCAGATTATTGTAAAATTTTGCAAAATTATTAATTCTCTTTGAAATTGTCTGTGTAAAAATATCTTACCACATTCTTTTTAAAATGTTTAAAATAATTTTCGATGTAATGTTAGCTAAAAAGTTATATGAATAATTATACTTGGTCAATATACAACACACTGGGGGAGATAATTTGTGAATTAATTGAACGTTTGACGTGACGTAAATTAACGTTTAAAGCGTCAAAATGAGAATTTTTCAATCATGAAAGAAAATGGGGCTTGGCTGTGATGCGTAATACTGTAATGTGTTTTTTTATAAAAAACTAAAAAGCAAGACATGAAATACCATGAGCAGTAAAATTTCATTTTTACATATACACATGCTTTGATCAAAGGCAACTTTTTTTATTCTGAAAATTTTATTTTACATTGCCAAAATTCTCAAATTTACAAACATTTAACATATTAATTAATGGTAGAAAATTTTTGCATATGATATAAATTTGATTTTCTAATTAAATAAAACAACAATAAACAAACAAAAAACATTTTATTTGTGAAAAATTTTATGGGAACAAATGTATTTTATTTTCATCCCTTTATTCACGGTTTTCCAATTGTTTATACATTGGAAAGACTTTGATTTATTATGGTAAAACATTGAATATCCTATGAATTTTTCTGTCACTATAGTCATATTTTTATTTGTTTTATATAAATATATTTTCGTTTTAAAAATATCAATGGGTATAATTTGAAATGAATTAATGTTTGTATCATTTTTGTGGACAATTTTTTTAGATGTCAAGGTATCTCTACATCTATTCAAATCATGTAAGGCCACATTCATCGTTAAATAATGACTAAAGAAATAAATTAATTACTTTTAGTTGCAGTTTTCATTCCCATTTCTTTTATAAATAAAATTGAAGAAATAAAACATGTGATAAAATTTTCTACAAATGAATCCATTATCATTTTTCATTACTTATGGAATGCATAACGCACAATGCAATTTTAAAGTTCCTTTAATTTTTTTTTCAACCATATATGCATGCTTAAAAACTATTACATTTTAATGGTATTTCATTTGTTTGCTTTCAAAAATATTATTTGAATCCACATTTAAATACGTGTTAATTGACAGTTAATATATTTTTGAAGCAAATTTTCAATTTGATTTTTTTTAATTGTGTATTTTAAAACATATGATTATACCTCCTGCAAAACGTTACACTGATACAAATGTTAATGATAAAATAAACTAGGTAGATAAGCAAAAATTAAAAACAAATTAAAGTTAATATATGCAGTTAGTTGAAAAAAGTTTTTTACTTAAACGCAGGTTTTTTGGTAAAAAAATTTACATTTGAAAAAAAAATTTTCCTTAGATAATCTATTTTGATTGGTAATTTATGATAAGTTATCAAAAAACCCAATTTGTTTTAAATGGTTAAAGAATGTGCTTTGACACAAATTTCAGTAATTTTAAAAGCAAGGTTTTTACCATTGTATAAATTTTCTCTCGAAATTAATTTTAACTTTAAGTTCAAAAACCACTTTGCTTTTGTAAAAATGTTTAAACATTTCTACATCATGTACTTTATTTAGAAATAAAGAATTTTTTCTCTAACATTTTTTCAAATATTTACAACTCTATGTTTCAATTTAATTGCTTAGAGAATTGTTCTTAACAAAAAGATACAATAGTAACTATAGTTAACTATTGTACCAAAGTAAAAACTTTTATTTACTATAGTGAAAACTTTGGGGCTTCGATTTATTATGGTGAAAACTTTGGAATTTTGATTTACTAAATAAAAAACTTTGGAATTTTGATTAACTATAGTAAAAACTTTGGAACTTTGATATATTATAGTGAAAACTTTGGAACTTTGATTTATTATAGTAAAACATTGGAACTTTGATTTACTATAGTCATATTTTTTTTGTTTTATATATACATATATTTGTTAGGGGTACCACTGAATGCTGTCCTTTGTATCACAAAGTTGACAATAGATGTCAAGGTAAAAAATTATTTAAGGCATATTTTGATCGATTAAAAAAATCAAATTATTACAGTTGAAATAATGATACTGAATGATACCTTCTTGCTTGTTAAGCATGCCCTCCTGGGTATTTTGGGCATATGTGTAAAAACAAATGTCCATTTCCTTCATACGGATTACTTTGTCGACACAAGTGCAATTGTTCTGAAGTAAATTGCAACCATATATCTGGATGCCCGATTACAACAGGTATTTCATTTGTTTGCTTTCAAAAATATCTATTTGAATTTGATCATTACATATAGAACAACAGATTTTTAAAATCTCCTTTTCTTGTAGTGTATTTACAGCAACCACAGAGTACAACGAAGTTAAATAAAGGTTTGTTCAATTGTTTATCCTTCAAAATAGTACGCAATAATAATGTACAAAAAAGTAATTGCCTTCCTATTTTGATTGGTAATGTAAATCCGATGAGATGCCTAAATTTCAAATTTTAGTAAGAAAATTGTATATTTAATGTTATTCATTTTCATCAATTTGCTTCAGAATTTTCAATTCCTACATCAGCAAAAATGAACAGAAATGAACACAGATGGTGAATATGTTGTAACGACTTTAAAATTTACAGAAAGCAAAAATACAGAAAGAGCAATCATTATTATAATTGGTACCAGTATTTCTTGTTTGCTACTTATTTTTATAATCTATGAGATATACATGTTTGGGTCTCGATATTTTTGTATACCACAGGAAAACATACATAACAGGAATATTTATGCAAACGTTATTGATATAAATGAATAATATGCGCATATTGATACTGATAACATCTATGACGATTAACTCTGAAAATGTTATTTTGAAGGGTAAAAAAACTTGAATTAAATAGTCAAACACAGTAACTCGTTTCTGTTCTATAATTTTCTTTTCAAATGCATTCTTGTGACAAGTTATATACATGACTTAATACAAATGTAAGGACAAATACGAGACTGATCAAAATATTCATGGGCTTGCGCCATATACATGTAATTAACACCACTTGAGGTTCATTAACGAATTTTAAAACATTCACTGAACATCATTTTGTTTATCTATAAATTAAACCACTTATCTTAAGTTTTTTAAAATTATAAATTGTTTATGTTTCCTTTAGCAATAGTCTGATCTGTCGGCGCAACCTTAAAGTTGGACGTTTTTCTATCCGTATTTGGCGTCAACCTTAAAAGTTTTACGGACGTTTTTCATATGGAGATGAGTATCATTCTGTAAAGTTTGATCCACTGGAAAATACTGATACGGACACAGGGAATGTTACAACAGGCCTGGGGTACAGATAAACCGTTTTTATCAGTTACGTTAAAAAGTCTTGTTGCTCCAGTTAGGTATCCATTGCACTCAGACAAGCAAAGCATACGTATGTTAGCATAATCAAATAAGGAAATGTCACAATGTATATATCTATTTACAAAATTAGGCATTGAAATCAGCTGTCCATATCATTGTAAGCCATATAAACAAGACGATCCCGAGTTTCACTCATTGCTTAGAATTCGAGAGAATCACTCAGAAAAAAGTGTATTGAGACAGGGGGAGCAATCATTTAATAGATTTGATAGCGTAACGGCGAGAGCGCCAGGTGAATATATAATGTAATTTGTATTTAACGATAATTTGGCAAATTATGAACATATCAAGCCAATTGAAACTTCTCAACACATTTTAAACTTTTGTTGTTTTTTTTTGTGTTATTATAAACTTTGTACTCAAATTTACCATGTCGATAGAATTAATTTTATCGCATCGTTGGAATTGTCATTTCACGAAGTCTTTGATTTTCCTCGTAATATGCTTTTAGAAATACATGTAGATGTAATGAGTACCTTGCGTTTGCTTTCGAGCACGCTATTGATGATATTTCAAAAAAAGAAGACTATGTATAGAGTAATGATTGAGTTAATTTTATATTAAAAACTACTTCTTTTTAAGTGATTATCAATATCTCACAAAAGAGAAATAATCATTCATATTGTGCTCATTATAAAACATTTTATAAAGTTTAGCTGGTCTCTTCATTCAAAGAAGACATTCAAATTTTATCCATATTTCATTCCTTCGCTTATGAATCAGCAACAAAAAGTAAATTTCAAACAACTGTAACTTTCTATAGACAAAATGAAAACGTTAGATTTCGAGTAACAGACACTTTATAAAGTTGGTAAACCAAGCGATTTTAAGGAGGTAAAAAAATCGACTCGACTTTGTTTAAAAGCATCCATCAACTGTATTTTCAAACTTAGTAAATTAGTCAAAAAGTAGTGTCACAGCTGCTAATCGATGAAATATATGGAGAAAACGAACAGTATTCAAGATCAAAAGTCCATCAACAATACAAAATAGGAGCAAACACCGACCTCTGAAAATATCAGAGGTGGGATCAGGTGCCATGGAGGAGTAAGCATCCCTTGCCGACCGATCACACCCTTGTCATGATCGGGAAATAATGGAAAATCCGTCGTCAATTCAGTGTGTAAATAATGGACTTACAATAAGTATGAAAAACGTCGGCGAACATATGACTCAATGATAAATTGTATTTGCTGACAAGGTAAGTATCGGTATCGGGAGGGGGGGGGGGGGGGTTCTTAGGAACTCATATGTTTTGCAAAGATATATAGGCATTGAAAATCTTGACTTGCCTTTGAGGGGCGTGTCTACTTTCAATTTGCTACCAACGACTATGTACAATGTATATAAAAAAATAGTTGGGCTGAGAGACCTTCTACTCACCTTCTCCTTGTTCCCAATGAGGTTAAATGAATACATGTAAATTAAAATGTTTTTCAAAAGATATAATTAATAAAATTGATTCTCTCAACTACTAAAATCTAAGTAAAGAGTTTTATGTTTTATAATTTTTTTTTCAAAGTGCGTTATATGTCCCAAGGTAAAAAAAGTTTATGTATACTCTTTTAAAACGCACTTTGAAATATTTTTTCAAAGTGCATTGAGTGTGTCCCAAATTTACGGCACTTTGAAAATTTTTTTCAAAGTGCGTTAATTTTGTCCCAATTTTAACGCACTTTGAAAATTTTTTTCAAAGTGCGTAATTTTTTCAAAGTGCGTTGCCACAATGCATACTGTGGGAAAGTATAATTACATATGATGTTAAAGTTAAAGATAACAAACAGTGATCGGTCACAAAAAAAATCTATAAACAACACAAATATGAAGAGGCATAAAACACGGACCCCTTGAAATTCCAGAGGTGGGATCAGGTGTCTAGGAGGAGTAAGCGTCCCATTTGACTGGTTTCACCCCTCGTGATCCCTATGTATTGATCAGCTAGACGGAACAAATTAATTATAAAAACAAAGGCCTATCAATTGGTAGGAAACAAATCAGCTAAAGCACGATCCAATGAAAGGTCATATTTGCTGAAAAGGTCAATATAACGACCATAGAATTTAACAAATACCGACTTTAAAGGAAGTTGTTGATAATCTGCTTATATGTATCAGTGAGTCATGCCTCGTTTAAAAATGATTTTTATAATCATGTCCTATAAGCCTAAGTTAAGATAAAAACACCATTCAGGTGGTAGCGCATTTACATTATTTTTTTTGTCTTGTAATTTATAATAAAAATATATACTTTTTAATTTATAATAAAAATATAACCCTTGATTTGTTGATTTTGTGTTCTTTTATGTCCCATTTAAGATTTAAAGGAGATGGGTGAACATGATGAGCGAAAAGCCTATAGCGCGACAAACATGAAAATGAAAAATAAACTCTCAATTATATCAAAATTTCGCTTATATACCATTTCATATAGCATAAAAGTATACTTTACGTTAAATCTCTGCAACTTGCAAAAATCTCACGAAGATTGAATTTATTTGATAATGAATAATATACACACACAAAAGAGGACAAAAAGAGTTATTTTCTCACACTTTAACACAATTTTTCGATATGAATGGATCTCCACTCATTTTTTTAAAACTTGATCCTCAAAGTTTGCATAAAAATATACATTTTTGGGTAACCAAAATAAAGAGTGAAACATATGGAGATAATGAACAGTATTCAAGATCAAAAATCCATTTAACAATACAAAATAGGAGCAGAGCAAATGGGGACCTCCAAAACATCAAAGGTGGGATCAGGTGCCATGGAGGAGTGAGGATCCGCCGACCGGTCACATCCGCCGTGTGCTCCTTGTCATGTTCGGGAAATAACGTAAAAATCCGTCGTCAGTTCATGGTCAAAAATTGTATTTCACTCAGCTGACAAAGATCAATTGTATTACTGACAAGGTCATTGTAGGATGTAAACTTAAAATGATGACTTTAAACGAGATTGCTGATATATTTGTTTCATCAAATTTTTTGTCAATAATTTATCTCGTTTTAGAAATTGTTAATTAATACGTAAAGCATGCTCTTGCATATCGAATCAACTGAGATATACAAACTCCATACTTAGTATTCAGGTAATGAAGGTATATTGCTGCAGAAGTAAGGGAAGTTGACGATTGTAAAGTTAAAGTCATCACGTTTATCATAGAGCTTGGTTGTCAGATTACCATTAATGTCTTTTTCAAGTAAAATATCCAAGTATCTAAAACAGATATGTCCTTGACTCTGGTGGTATCTTTTATCTCAATCTAAACGTATAAATACAGGATATATTGCTGCAGAAGTACGGGTAGTTGACGGTAAAGTAAAGTCATCACCTTTTTCATAGCGAAATAAGAAAAGAAATAAATATAAACAGGTGTGTCATTGTTTGATAATATTGTACATTTTGACAATATATTGTAATACCACAGATATAAAGAATAGAAAATTCAGTTAAACAATATGGTCTTATGAATTTTACAAAATATATTACTACGAATTAAAGTGAAGCTCAAAATACTTAATTAACATTCTTAATTGTAATAACCTTAAAAAATTGTAAAAGTTCATCATGTCATAATCACATATAATGTATTATCCCTAAGATCATTAACAGTAAAAACAATACACATCATTTTCCTTGCATTCGGAAGTGTAACTAGATCAAAACTCTTTTTCACAAATGAATGCACTATTGATGTTACAGTTGTCATCATTCCAGAATCCATTTCGGC